ATATATATAAAACGTATTTTCAGCTAGTTGCCAATAAAAACATTTCCCATTTTCATTTTGTTTAAATTGATGTACCTGAAATAGCTAAAACTGAAATAAAAAATAATAAAAACTATATAGGCATGTTTAAAAAAAAGACTACATTTTGTACTAAAATGTAAATGAAAACTGAAAATATAAAAATAATAACTAATACCAACTACTAATATAAACTATAATAGTAATTTCAATATTAGTAATTAAACTAAAATAACACTGTGTTGTACCCTATACCTGTAAAAACAGTAAGTTTGAACTTTGTCATCTGGTATAATATTTGAATAATAGCTGAACTTCCCAGTGAGGTCTCATCCAAAATGTGAAATAGGGTGAATACATGCATTTACGATGATAATTAGAAAAGCTTTGTTTCTCTCTCTCTCTCTCTCTCTCTATTGTAAGGGTATGTTTTAAACACGTTTGATGTTTATTTCAAAATGGTAAAACTTGTATTACTTTTCAAATCAAAAATGTGTATTGTGATGCACAATATTATAAAAAAAAATTTAAACTGTGATATCACATTTTACTTATACCCACTTTTAGATGGAATATTTTGGCAAGTTCCTGGGGAGCACCATCACTCTCTAGAGGCCACAGGTTATGCCGTGCTTGCCTTGGTGATGGCAAAGGATTTCGAGAGCGCTGGACTGGCAGTGCGTTGGCTGGGAAAGCAACAATCCCGCTATGGGGGTTACGGCACAACGCAGGTATTTTAAGTGACAAATGAATAATTGTCACAGGTTAGTGGCTGCAATGAAGGAGATTCTTAGGTAGACTTTTTAGTATCACACAAAACATTAAACAAGAGAAAATACCACTATAACACAAACTAACAGAATTAATGCGAGACAAAGGGAAACTGGAAACTGAGGGCTTAAACACTAATGAGAACAAAGGAAGAACCAAACAAGACACCTGAAATGAGGACTCAAATTAATCGGCAATCATAGAAACAAACAGGCAGGGAACCTAGGAGAGCAGAACTAAAACTCAGACACGAACAGAACAGGAAAACAGACAACAACTCTAAACAAACTGAAAATGTGACAATAATTGTGTAAACTGATTGATTTATATAGTTTACAATGTATGTTGTCCTCCTTATTTTGTGCAACCCTATAAATTAAGAGGATACTACGCTTTTTTTGATATACCAATGAAATGTCCTGTTAGAGGCTTATATCTACACACTTCAAAAACATCCATGTGGTGACATTTTCACCTGACTGAGAAATCCTCCAGAAGTTTTGAATGTCCGAATAGGTGTGAAATGCAAATGAGATTTTAGTGTATTTTGTGTTCCATGTCAGAAAAATGAATGGGTTTCAAATTGTCATTTTATGCTAAAAGTTCAATGTAAAGGTAATGAGAGTTAAATATGGTAGCAGTGAGACTATTTGCTGGTGGAGGATGAAAGTCACTGGAGTGATGTCCATCGATGTCCAATGCAAACATGACTAATTGGCCAATGTCTTTTACCTTGATACCCCAAAACATTTTTTCTCATCTTCTTACCTGTCTGTTTAGGCAACGATCATGGTCTTCCAAGCGGTGGCTGAATACCGCATTCAGGTTAAGAAGGCAGACATTAATTTGAACCTGGAGCTCGCTGTGCAGGAGAGAAAAGAGAAAACTAGAATCGCTATAAGATCGTCCAACCTTCACCTTTCACGCTCAGACAAGGTCTGGAAATATGAAGGAATGTTTGCACCCTTAATGCTGAGAAATAGAATTAAAATGTTGTTCAATACACATTTACACCATACACAGTCTAATTCACATGTTGTTTGTATTAACCGATTCACTTAAAAGTGTGTTTTCTTTATCTGTCTGCTTCATGGACTGAATGCCACAGTTTGACATTACGAGGAATTTCAATATCACAGCTCAAGGGACTGGAGTGGCCATGCTCTCGGTGAGTATTCATGAACGCGCTCATGATGTCTTCACCAGCATGTTGTTCTGTGTTCAAGAGCTCCTGTCCTTTCCTCTCAGGTCTTTTCTGTGTATTATGCTCTGCCTGAAGAGAAAGACTCCGAATGTAATGCGTTTGATCTCAGTGTGCAGATGGACAAAGAGTCTGCAGGTAGGCTTCATCAGGAGAACGAGACACGAGTGTAATTCAAACGGCTTCGTTGTAAAATAAGGTTGAATTATGATGTTATATTTTTGTACGTAGTATCCTATGATGGAGCCTCTGAAAGCTACCAGATCACCATTGAATACATGTGAGTATACAACTATTCTAACTTTAACACAACACTTAACTTTAACACTTTGCACAAAGGGAAGCTGCGATGTATGATCGTACACTTTGAACCCAACCTACAAATAGATTATTGATAGATTATTACATCATATTAATCCACCTTTGCAGTTTCAAAGACCCTTTAAGAAGCTCAACCATGTCTATTTTGGACATTGGCCTGCTGACAGGGTTCAAAGTGGATGAACATGATCTTTCAAAGGTAAATAAACGGCATCAAGGATTGTGAAAGTCATAAATAAAATCTAACACATTCACTTGAATTCAATTAAATTAACAATGGACATTTGATACACTATCAAATGATTTTCTCTTAACGATTTGGCCGACAGTTATCCAGTGGTAAGGATAAGTACATTCAGAGCTTTGAGTTGAACAAGGAGCTGTCAGAGCGAGGATCTCTTATCCTCTACATAGATAAGGTACACTGCCATTCCCATTCCCATATGTGTTGTGTTTTTATTTCTATTTTTGCATGTGGATATGCTACTGATTTTTCCTTTCTCATTTACTATGAGCAATTTGGTGAATTGCTGTTTGGTGTAGTGATTGCTCATGATAATAACTTTTTATTTCTAATAAAATTATTTCTAGGTTTCTAATAAAGAGAAGGAAAGAGTTGTCTTCAGAATGCACAAGATCAATGAAGTGGGAATGCTGCAGCCTGCCGGAGTCACTGTGTACGAGTACAACGCTCCGGGTGTGTGATGTTACAGTTGCCAACACATATTTATCTAAGAGTACTAGAAAAGAAATGCATCTAACTATTTCTTCAGTCAATTTTACAATGTACACAGAGTAGATTCTGTGATAAATCACTGTCAGTTGCTTAAAACAACTCAAGAATAAAGAATGAAGAACAAAAGTGTGCTTGCGTTCCACTGAAATAAAAAGTTAATTGCATAGATAGAAAAATAAACATTGGTACTATTCCCTTATGCGAACGGCAATGCTTATTAAAGAACACAAATCCATACGATTGATCATTTTGACACATTGTGTGGGACAAATTCAACTGACGTATTTAATCTAAGCTGCATATTTTGACAGATAAGCGTTGCGTGAAGTTCTACCATCCTCACAAGAAAGATGGATCGCTGAACAGACTCTGCCATGAGGACCTGTGCCAGTGTGCTGAAGGTTCGTACATTTTAAATGCAAGATGAATGTACAACATACTTAAAAAGTATCATTTTATGAAGTCCCCATGAGAAAAACGAATTAAATATCTTAACAGAGAACTGCAGTTTGCAAAAGAATGAACACATAGATGAGGAGAATCGTGAAGAAAAGGCCTGTGAACGTGAAGTGGAATACGGTAAACACCCTGAATGCTTGACTTATTGTAGCAGTAGAGAATGTTAGATCACATCTTGTACAATAGCTTTCCCTTTCAGGACTGTCTTATTTTCCTAATGAAGACCCAGTAAGGGTCATTTCTTGCTAGTGGAGCTGTTACAGTAGATGATCATGTAATGCATTTGTCTTGCAGTTTATAAAACCAGGGTGTTGGAAATGGGCTTCTCATTGCATGCGGACATCTATAACATGACAATTGAGCAAGTGCTGAAGGAAGGTATGGGTTGCCATTTACCCTCTGATTTACTGTGGCAGTAGCAAAAGCTGGACATGAAAGATGCCGTTTAATCTGTGAATGATGACTCTGGATTGTGACTGGTCCATTGCACTGGCTTTATCTTGTGTCTGTGTTTGTTTTTAGGCTCTGATACAGATGTGGAAGGAAATATGAGATCGTTCATGGCTCATCCTTTCTGTAGAGAATTTCTGAAATTTGAAAAAGGCAAGACGTACCTGATCATGGGCCAAACCAAAACCCTTCCGAGGATTGGTGGAAAGTACGACATTCAATATTGATTATGTGGAAATGGGCTGATCTTGTAGTTTAGTGCACTCTTATTATATATCTGCTGTACGGATGCTCCTAATGAAAAACGTTCTCACTCTTCTCAATCATCTCAGGTTGAGGTACCACTTGGGCGAGGACACCTGGATTGAATACTGGCCAACAGACAAGGAGGGCCAGACACCAAAACATCGAACAAAGTATATTGGCATCACCGCACTGGCCGACAAGCTCATCCGATTTGGATGCTCCACTTAAAGATTTTCATGAGCTTAAAATTAATGTACTGATCCATACCAACCTTACAGCCACAACTTTGTTTTTAATTCTAGCATGTTGTCAGATAAATATTTGCTTACTTTTTGTTTTAAGGTTCATGCAGTATGCTCAATTCACTTAAATGAGTTCAAGGTCTGTCAAGTGAAATATAATCATTTCAAGCCATTTGTCAAATAAAATTTGCAAACATAAAACAGTCTTTATTTTGTTATTCTTTGCATACCAAAAAAAAGAAAAGAAAAACTAATCTATTTCCAAAACCTTACCAGAGAATTAATTGGAAAAAAAGCAAGGGAACCTAAGCAGATTACTGCAGTGATACTGTACAGTATATGAGACTATAATCAGACAATAAAAATTTATTTAACAGGTTGATCATGCACTATAATGAGTAGATTTGTCAAGTGCCAACAAAATGCCAAAGGGGACCACTTTTCTGCTTTCACCTGATTGATTTTTTAAAGGCAGTTCTTTCATTTATTTCAACTGACAATATTTACTTGGTTATATTTAAAGATCACTTGGATTTGTTCTAGATTATTAGATGATGATTTGGTACCTTGAAAGTCTGTCTGAAAGCATTTTCTTCAGGAGCTTCCTTGATACACTTGCTGTCTGATGGATGAGGCAACAATGTTTCAGTGTTTAGGAGGAAAAAGAAATGAGAAGGTTTATTGTGTCACTAATAAAGCATGCTGGACTTGTTGCCAGATAATCTGTAGTTTTTTTTTTTAAGGGAGTATTTCGTTTTATTCATCAGAATCTGTTTGTTTATTTATTTGTTTATTCACTTATTAATTTTTCGTATCTTCTGGATCCTGGCTGTTTTCCAGCCCAGACTGATCAATAGAAGAGCAGCAGATTTACCAAAGGTTGCATTTGCACAACAGGTCATTTACGGGAAATCTCACCACAGTGAACTTTGTTCTTTACCACAAACATTTAGGAGGAAAAAGAAATGAGAAGGTGTATTGTGTCACTAATAAAGCATGCTGGACTTGTTGCCAGATAATCTGTAGTTTTTTTTTTAAGGGAGTATTTCGTTTTATTCATCAGAATCTGTTTGTTTATTTATTTGTTTATTCACTTATTAATTTTTCGTATCTTCTGGATCCTGGCTGTTTTCCAGCCCAGACTGATCAATAGAAGAGCAGCAGATTTACCAAAGGTTGCATTTGCACAACAGGTCATTTACGGGAAATCTCACCACAGTGAACTTTGTTCTTTACCACAAACAGCTCCGCAACATTCTCGTTTTCTCATCAAAGTAACCCATTAGATTGACAATGAACAATGAACAATGATAACTCTATTAGTATCCACACTAATGGACGACACCTGTTTATTCTAGTGCGCAATTTAAAGTAGGCAGGATTCACCCCTGAAATCTGCCTCTTCTGTCAGTTTTAAAGCACTATCAAACCATTTTAAAGGAAGAAAGACAATAAATGATGCATTTATTTGAATACATAAACATTATTTCCATCGCTAAAGTGCATGAATTCAAATAGGAATTTTTGGCAGTCGTGAGTTCAGGTAAAAGTGCACTCGTAATTCGAGTCTGTACAAACATGAAAACAGTCAGACACACAAACAGACAAAGATGGAGGTGAAGCTGCTCTTTCTGACTGTTGTTCTTCTCTCCTCGCCGCTCCTCACACTATGCGACCCACTGTAAGTATCAAACACACCGTTTTATTAATATGTTATTCATTTATGTGTTTATTATTGGTTAAGTTTGGGATTAGTACCTATAAGTTTAGAGCTTCAGTCACACAAATGTCTGTTTTGTATGGCAGTGGTTTTGTATGTTGGTTTCAGACACCAACAACAGAGTTAATTCCCAGTGGGGCATGTTGTCACATGTTTTATTTGAATTTTAATATTTGTTATTTATTTAATTTATTATTATGTGACTTTAATGTAATGTAATTGAATTCGTAATATTTGTTGACCAAAACATTTTTGTTGGATATTTAGTTTTGTATGTCACCTTTTGCATTTCTGCTGTTTCATGAAGTTTGAGTTTTATTCGATTGTTCATATATTGCTTAAACGGATTCCACTGTGACAACTTACTCCACATACTGTGACAGCTCTGTTCTATGCTATTGTGGCATGTTATCACCAGAGCTGGGTAGTAACTGATTACACATAATCTGGATTACGTAATCAGTTTCCAAAAAATAAGTAATTCGATTAAATTACATTTTAAAATACTCGTGATCAGACTACAGTTACTTTTTTATTGATTACATGATTATTTATTATTCACACAATGGCAATAAATTATTCAGAATTCATTGATTTTCCCTAATCCTTCTTTTACATCTTTTAAGTTGTCCTTTCTAAAATAGCCCACTGCTTGTATACACTGAGGAAGTCTTCCAGTTTTGCAGACATTCACACAAAAAAACAGTCATTAGTCAGGTGGCTATAATTGCACAGAAAACTGAGAGGCCACACAGCATTTGACCACTGGGTTTACAAAAATCCTTTCAGTATTAAGAAGAGTTTTCTCAGCATTTCAACATTGCATCAACTATTGATAAACACTAATTATTTTGTATTTGATTTATCACTCAGTGGGTTATTCAGCCATGTATTACTGTCTACACAAACATTACTATGTATGTTACTATGTCTAATGTCTCTGTAGGAAATTAGCTCAAAAGGGAAATGTATATAAATAATTACAATTAATTATGATTAATTACAATTATTTATATAAACTGCCAGTAGTAACTGTAGCAGAATTAAATTGCCCTCAACTAATCTGGTCGTCCAGCGAACATTCAGTGTAAATTCAAATCAACTCTAGGAAAGGATATTTTCGTGGCCACAGAAAATACTTTCATACAGTATTAATGCATTAGAGCATGTAGTAAGGATCAAAATTGTAAAGGGACATTCATTTGCAAGGCAGAATCAGAAACTCGTGTAATTTGTGCACAAGAGTTTTATTAACTAAACACTAACACAAAATAGTCTAACAAACACAAATTTTTTATGATCAAAAATAAACATACCATGCATACCGGCGTCCAGAACATTCTTATTCAGGATTTATGGCCATTTGATTTGATCTCCTCAGGTTTGTTCTGTCGGCTCCTAATCTGCTGATCCAGAACATTCTTATTCAGGATTTATGGCCATTTGATTTGATCTCCTCAGGTTTGTTCTGTCGACTCCTAATCTGCTGAGGGTGGGTTCCTCAGAGAACCTGTTTGTGGAGGCTCAGGATTACTCTGGACGAGACCTCGATGTGAAGATCATAGTAAAGAATCATCCAAAGAAGAACCTGGAGATACTGTCAAAATCAGTTACACTGACCGCAGACAACAATTTCCAGATCCTTACAGATATAAAGGTGACGCCACTTTGATATACTTTGTCCTTATATAAGCATATGTGTATGATTCTTCAGAGGGCAAACTTCATATTTGTACAATCTGCAATTTTATTTACAATTAATTTGTTTTTATGCATGTGTTATATCTTTCATTGTTTACTGTTGTTCAGATTCCAAGTGATAGGGACTATTTCTCTGACGATCCTCTGGAGAAGCAGTATGTGTATCTACAAGCTCAGTTTCCATCCATCACTCTGGAGAAAGTGGTCCTGCTCTCATTCCAGACTGGATATCTATTTGTCCAAACAGACAAGCCCATCTACACACCTGCTAGCACAGGCAAGAAATTAATTGGAGTTCAACATTAGATGCCTCTTTTGAATGTCATGGAGGAAAGCACAAAATAAAAGAATTCCATGAATTATCATTTATCCTTTCTGCAGTTCAGTACAGGATCTTCTCACTGACCTCTGGAATGAAACCATTTGAACATACTGGAATATCAGTAGAAATAATGGTACTCTAAAAAAAAGTGCACTAAAACGTTCCTTAAAATACATATTTTAATAAAATAAAGCACGATTAACAATTATTATATTTTTTTATTGAAGGATCCTCAAGGTATCACAACTATGAGAGAAACCATATTTCCACAGCAAGGGATTAGATCAGGAAAATATGCCGTACCTCAGCCTGCCAGGTGCGTTCATGCTGAAAACTGAGACCTGATGTAACTAGACACACGTTAACTGACTGGATTATAACTCGATTTATCTGTAGAGAAGGACATTCATTCGCAGCTCTGTTGACGTGATTAATGTGTTTGTATTTGTAGTCCTGGGATCTGGAAGGTGGTCACAAGATTCACAAACACACCACAAAAGAATTACACTGCTGACTTTGAAGTCAAAGAATATGGTACTGTATGGTTTTATATGTATTATATTTTTGTTGTATGTAACAAATACTACACATAAACAGTTGTGCCAAAAATCTAAGAGCACTTCTCAAAATACATCTATTTTTGCAGGGTTTTGGTTTTGTATTAATGTAATATCAACACATTAAAATCTTGCAGTGCTTTTCATTATGCTTGTTTGTTTTTATAGTGCTTCCCACTTATGAAGTCACATTATCACTCAGTCAATCATTCTTCTGTGTAAAAGATGCTAGTCTGATAGTTAGCATTGAAGCAAGGTAAGGCAATTATGTTTTGTCACTTGATCTATTTCAGTATGCTTTATTATTATGTCCAAGTCTGGATATCTGTTTAATTTAATATTCTCTCACATTTGAAGCTGTGTACTTACCAAAGCACTTCTCTGCTAGTTAATCTTGATGTCACAGATAAAGTTTGCTTTTTTGGTTTTTTTAGATACCTTCATAGAAACAATGTGAACGGACATGCATTTGTGGTGTTCGGTGTGATGGAAGATGAGAGGAAAACAAGTATTCCTTCTTCTCTTCAAAGAGTTCAGGTGAGCTTCATAACAAGCAAAAGCTGATGAGCTGATGTGTTAGTAAGTGATTCAGACTGATATTGGCATTTGCATTAACCCCAGATATCAGACGGAGAAGGTAATGCCAAGCTAACAAAGGACATGATACTTCAGACCTTCCCAGACATCAACCAACTGGTTGGACGATCAGTTTACATTTCAGTCAGTGTTTTATCAGATACTGGTAAGAGTCTGCACACCAGAATGCAAGAGTCTACTGCTACTATTATAGATTTTACACTGTGTCTTAAAAATGCAGCACATAGCGTGAGGTGTTAAAAAACAACCCCAACTGCCAAAATAATGTTGTAATTTTATATGATTTTATTTTATATTGAACTTA